TATATATATATATATATATATATATATATATATATATATATATATAGCTAGCTCATAAAGTAATTAAGCGTTAATTGGTATACTTTTTTTATGAGGCATGATACAATAGCTTGATGATGATGATATATGATTCTCTTTATTGTTGTAATCTTAATTTGCTTTTGTGTATGCTAAAAAGCAGCCTAAGTAATATAATATATATATAGTATTCAACCTTAATATATATTATTTAATATGAGCATGCATGGGGCTCAATTATCAGAAAAGTCTATAGTTATACAGTTGAACAACTCTAGGTTAATTAGTTTTAGCTATGGATTGTTTGATGAGTTAAAGTTGTGAAAAGTATAGTGGTTTTTATGAATTCACTACCAGAAAATGGGCTTTAGTGACATAAATTTTGTGACGGGACAAAGTCGTTACTATTTGTGGCCGAGTTAGTCGTCGCAAATCTGTCATTATATTGGTTCAAAGTTCAAACACAAAAAAAGAAATACTAGTAACTGAATTTGCAATAAATGGTGTGATGAGCCTTATGACGGCAAATAGTTGGTTATAGTTTTTAGTCACAAGTTCTTTTTATGGGAATCGATTTAGATGCAATAGTACTTTTGATTATAATGTATGTGACAAATCTTCCGAAACTCCATTCGCAATTCCGGCCGTCGGGTTTGTTGAGGAAACAATATTTTGATATTATTAGGCATTAGCCAAAACTTAAGGAAGGGTACAACGCTTCGGAACATAGCAAATCGAGAGTCATGGCAAGGACATGGGGCAAAATGATGCGCATTCCGCTTAGATAAAAAATGAAAACTACATGAACTAATAATGGAAAACTTAGAAATAGAAAGAGTCTCCTCAATAAAGCTTTCAAACGGCGACGGGGAAACTTTCCGGCTTTTTAATGTTTCTAGGGTAAATTACAACCACCCCTGATGTATGGTTAAATTACGAAAAAAAAATTCCTTTCTTGTTTGGATAATTATATTACGAGTTAAATGCAAATACTCCCCCTGTGTTAATTCTAAAGACCAAAAACCCCCCCGAGATAAAAAAAAGTGACAAAAACCCACGTGATAAGTGTTCAAACAAGCAGGGCCGGTCCGGACGATTTGAAGGCCCTGGGCGAAAAATTAAAAATGTGCCCTCTGTTAAGAAATTTAATTAATTTTCTCTAAACGTACACTAAAATAATGAAACGTATAATTTTCGTCGTAGATTCATTACAATAAAACGAGTTTACAGAAAAATGGGTTATAATTATTTGGGCCTCGTTAAAACCTTCTTAGGGAAAAACCCGTTAGGACAAAACCCCTAAGAAGGAAAAAGAGTACCCTAACCCAAAAAAAGTAGCAAAACTCAAAAAAAAAAAAAAAAAAAAAAAAACAACAACAAAATAACACAACAAAACTAGTAAAATCACACGATACAAAGAAGAACCTACTGTAAGAACGAAGAAAATCGTTGGAGACCGTCCTTCGACCGAAAATAGGATGACCGAAATTGTTAGAGTCCTTTCGCCCGAAAATATGCAACCGTTCTTTGAGGTTTATTGACTCACTTTGGGAGAATGAAATTGAATAAAATTTATCTTTTGCTTTGGAATTGAACATGAAAAATATTGATGTAAACATCCAATATATCGACATTGTGAAGAAGAAGAATTTGGAGAGGCAAATCTTGGAAATCTAAGATATGCTTTGAGAAGCTAACTTTTGGGCTTGGATATAGGAATTTACCGTTGAGTTGATTGAGAAAAAAAAAGGAGAAATAAATTGAGGGCTTGAAGGTAGGGGTTTGCCGTTGAATTGATTGCGTAACATAGGGAGAAAAAAAATCTTGGAATTGAAATAAACACGGCAGATTCAGATTATTGAGGAGAAAGGAAAATTAGGGAAAAAAATAATTTTTTTTTTACCCTACGTATACTAAAAAAAAAAAATTTTTTTGTGCCCCATTCTTTGGTGGGCCCTGGGCATGGGCCCAGCTCGCCCTGGGCCAGGGCCGCCTCTGCAAACAAGCATACTCGACCCATTTTATTTTTATCCGTTGACCACTCGTGAAAAGACGAATAAACCCTCGGATAAATCTGTCCAACTACAAAAATTTTATGACCCAAATGAAGTTTTTAAAATTTTCAATTCAGTCCCTAATACTTTCAATTAAACCCTCTTCCCCAAATGAAAAAAAAAAAACACACAGACACACGAAACACACACTTTGTTTTTTAATTCTCTGCTCACCTCACTCACCCCACCCAACCACTGCCGTCGTCGGCTCCGTTCATGGAC